GGTTGGGTCAAGTAATGTTGTCAGCCGTTGTCGTCGTGGTAGGGGAGGTGCGTACTGACTCGCAATGAACATCCAAAAATTGCATATGTCGTGTCCGCTGGTGATGACGGTGCACTGGTCGGCAGCGCGGGCCCCCCGCGGCAGTCTTGACTCCTGCGGTCCGACGAGGTGTGCATTTATGTTCGGAGAGCTGTTGTCGGTGACTGTTATTCTCGCGAGTTCGATTTTTTTTTATCGCGCCCCTGCTTCTCTGGGACCTTGAAGGAACGCGCGTTGTAGGTGCAGATGCGGACGTCGATCTTCTTGTCGCTGGAGGTCTCGGCGCATTGCGGTGCGAAGTGGATCGGTCGAGCTCGTGTCTTCGCTGGCGGTGCCTCAAGTCCGCGTTGGTGCATCTTGAGGTAGACATACTTTTCTACGCAGCCTGCTTCTCGTAGCCGCTCCCACTGTCGTTCTCTGTCGGCGTGGAGGGCCTGTGCCCGCTCTTCTTGTGGACATTGCTGCTGGTTGCTGGGTGTTGCTGCGTGCATATTTGCGAGACTGTCTGCTAGTTCGCTCCAGGGATGTCCTCGCGCGCCCGTGCTTGGTCAGTGCTGAGGTTCACCGCCTAAGCGGTGAGGTCGTGTAGTAGTCGTGCTAGGTGGGTCAGCTGGTTAGGCTTCTCGGTCTGGAAATTGCCCTTGGCGAAGCCTGTGGCAATCGTTGTGTCGGCATGGGTGGTAACGTCCGGCTTGCGGTTGGCGTTGTGGAACTGCGCGCGTATCCATGCGTCGGCCCAGATCAGGGCTGATAGTTCTGATGCGGTGGGATTGCTGGGGAAGCTGCCGTCTCTGAATGCGATGTTGTTGCGTGGCCCGATGCTTCCATGGCACGCACACACGCATGCGTATATAGGTATAGATAGCCTTGTTCGCCTTCGGCGGTAATAGCCGGGGCGCGTGAGTCTGGGGCGGAGTCGCGCTGATGCGTGCCATCTGAATATAGGTGCCACTGTTTGACCTGTTGAAGGGGCTGAGGCGGGCACAGCTCAAGCGCCGCGGCGGCGGCCGGGCGGGGGTCGGGAGCGTCGGCGGAGTCAGGCTGGCGCTGGAGGGCACGTGGCGTCGCGCGCCTCAGGAAGGCCGCTATCGGCTCCGTCGGAAGGAAGGGTACGGCGACTGCGAAGTCCCCCCCGTGCTGTGTACCTCGAGGGAGAGTGGCCCCCTCGTAGGTACATCGGTCTGTAGGTACGGCACTCTCTGCGTTGATGTCCAGGTCGCCTCGCGCGGAGCCCGAGCTGTCGTCGCGCGCGGCGGGTCGCACCTGGTTGGAATGGACGCTGCGGGGTCGACGGCTGCCCCGCCACCCCTCTCAACGGCCAGGCTTGCCGAACTTCCCCTGCCCCCCCCGAGGTTGTCTTTTGCTGGCGGTGTCTCGGTTTCCCTGCTGGCGCGTGTATTCACTGCGTCGCAGCAAGGGATATCAGGGGAAACATGTCGTCGCTTATCTGTTCGACGCTGATGAAAGGGGAGCATTGCTGCTCGTTGAATTCCAGTCCGGCGCCGGCAGCGGGGGGTCGCTGCGGGTCGAGCCCGTCGGGCCCTGGAGCTGTCAGCCATGGTGAAACTAGTCGCCCCAGAGGTTGCGACGTGCCCTTCTGTGGGCCCTCCTAATGAGGTGTCATGGTGTCTCGCGAGTGCGCCTATATGGGCCCGGTTGGACTCGGTGACGGCGGCGCCCCCAACGCCGCCGTGCCTCGCCAGTTTTTTGAAATGTGGTCGCGGGCGCCCCCGTCGATGCCACTGCTGTCGGTGTCATCGGGGTGATTCATGGGGGATGTTCCTCTCGTCCGTTGGAACAACTGCGCCCTGGCCGTTGTCTGATGCGAAGCACGCGGAGAGTCGCGGTGCTGACTGAGGTCGGCGTTGTTCCATGCGCCTGCGGTGCGCGCGAACTTCTTCCGATGGCTGCGCGGGCAGCTTCGGCGGCAGTGGTGCTGCTCTGCTAGGCGGGGTGCCGATGTGATAGGTCGGTGCAGATCGGAATTTCATCGGTGTCATGCATTCCGTTGGTGATGTGATTGTTTCCCTGGGGTGTGTGCGCGGTGTCGTTCTGGCCGTCGATGTTGGTTGGGCGGGTTGCCCCTCTGCGTCCGCTGTCGGCGTCGGCGACGGGCCCCCCTCAAAGTCGCTGCGTGGGAAATGGATCTTCCCCGACCAGTTGAGGTAGTAGTCGTCGTTCCTCGGCTGTGTTGACGGCAGTTCCCGCGGTTCCACTTGAAGCGGGATCGGCCCGTTGAGCGGCTCGGGTCGCGGTTCGCGGGTAGTCTCTTCGGCGTCGGATGAGGTGGCTGCGCGTTCGTCTTCTGGCGTCGACCTGGCTAACTTGTCCTGGCCCATCGCGCGGTGGCATCCGCCCTGCTGGGCCCGGGCGCCGCGGCCCTCGATGTCAGGGATCTGAACCCTGGATGGCAATGAGCTGGTCTCTTGGGCCAGCTTCTCGCGGCGGCATCCCTAGCGGCGCCTGCAAGAAGGTGACAGTTGAGTCGGGGCCGCTGCGCCTAAACTTGTTGGCGAGGACGCGGGCGAAGTCTGCTTCTCTTTCTATTTGCAATGCGCGGGCCACTGCGCGGGCGTTCTCGAATTGACGGGCGCGCCGTTGCATCTGCGCCTCTGTGACGCGGCGCTCGCTGTAAAGCTGCCGGAGAAGGTACTCATGTGATTATATGAAGGTCTTGGCTGCGTTGAACTGGCGCTGGTCGCAGTGAGTGCGTTCCGCATGGAGTCCGCTGTCGCGGCGTAGGTCTCTTGGTGCTGGCGAAGCTGGGCGACGCGGTTCTGCGTGTCCTCTGTCCGCCCTTCCAGTGCGTGGATGACTTCAGTCTTGTCCTGGCACTGCTTCTCCTCGGCGCGCACGGTCTGCGTCTGCGCGTAGACCTTGCTTTCGAGGTAGCTGATGCGTTGCTCTGAAAGGTGGTAAATGGGTTGGATGCGTTCTTGGCTTCCGCCGCTGCTGCCGACGTCGCTGTTCTTGTGCGCGTTGTCGCGCATGGAATGGATGCGCTGTATTCCTTGTCTGTTGTAAGTCGTTGATGATGAGCTGATGCCGGTGCTCTAGGTGCTGCGTGGCTTCATTCTTCTCTTCTGAGCACTTCTCAAGGTCGTTGCACGCGGCGATCGCAACTGCGACTCGCGGCTGCCGTGGCTGATGTAGCTGAAGCCGTGTTTCCTCCAAAGCTTTGTGTAGGCACTCGTTGGTGGCGGTTGTCTCTTGGTAGTTCTCGCAGCATTGCTTTGATGATTGGGGGATATTGCTGTTAATGGTATCAGCATCGCGGAGCTCGTTTTTGAGGTTATCAATGAAGGTGCTGTCTGTCTCGGTCTCGTGCGCGCTGTGCTCGGCGATCTTCTCGGTCGCCTTCCTGATGTTGTAGATATCCTTCTTGTGCTCCTCCATGCAGACGCGCTCGCAACGCTGGAACCCGCGGTGGCTTTCCATTTCGTTTTTGCAGTGGGCCTCTTGCGCTTCCTCGAACTGGTTGATGATGGCTTTTTGCTGTGCGGCATGAATTCGTTGTGTTTCAGCCTTCTGCCGTGCTTCTTGGAGCTCTTGTCGCAGCTTGTTGACGGTTGAGGTATCCGTAGGTATTTGGAGCGCTGATGGTGCTGGTGACGCATCTCCACTGCGTCCTCGGTGCCATCTCCCGACGTCGGGCGCGGGGGCGTCGGACCGCGGTTGCTTCGCGCGCCTCCTGAGCGCAGTTGCTGATTCGGCGTCGGCGTCGCCGTCCGAGTCGGCCCCCCTGATGCTGTCGTGGAGTCTTCGAAGCTGGCGACTTCGGTCTCCCAGCGCTGTGTTTTTTGGTAGTTCCTCCGGCTGCTGTTGCGCGTCGCCCATTCGGTTGACAACGTCGTTGATCATGCCCTCGAATTCTGACGATGCCGTTGGAGTCGTAGTCGTTGTTGGCGTGCCTCTGGGTGGCGGTGATGACGTAGCCGATGTCTGCCTTGCAATTCTTGCGGTGCTTCTCGAGGCGGTCGATGCGGCGCGTTGGTGGTGGCTCGTTCCAGCGCTGCTGTCTCCTGGCTTCAGTGAAAGCTACGGGGGCGATGTTGGCAGCAGTCTCTCTTCTCTTCTCTGGTCTGCGATTTACGTTGAGGCTGTGCTGGTGCTGCTACTGTGTTTGTTGCTGCTGCTATTGCTGTCCCATGGAGTTGCTGCTGCCCGTGCCGCGGGCGTCGTCGCGCCTACGGGCGCGCCATTGTGTCCGAGGGGCTCCTGATGTGTCCCCTTGGTGTTGTTGGTGTCGGTGCTGGCACTGCTGCTGATCACATTGTGTATTGTGGTAACTGCCAACTGGAGTGTGAGCCATCGTGGGCGCCATGGTGGTGTCGGGTGGTCGAGGTGGTTGCTGGACGCTGTGGAGGTCCTTGAGTAGTTGGCGTGTTCGGTTGATGCGGAGGAACGCTCGAGCGTCGGCACGCTCGCGGCGTAAGCGTCGGTGCCAGGCAGGCGACCGTGGGCGTCGGGGCTGCAGCATTGTGCTGTGGATGTCGTGGTATGTAACCGACGAAGACTTCGTCGTGGTCCCTCGCAAGGGTGCGAACGAGAAAGATGCCCAGGTAGTTGTGCTGGATATCGCGAGCGCCTGAAAAACCGCATTGGCCACCGCCTCGGCCGCCCTGTGCGGCAGAAAGGGCGGGGGCGGGCGCGCGCGGCCGGATGGCCACCTCCTCCTCTTCCTCCTCCTCCTCCTCCTCCTTTTCCTCCTCCCCCTCCTCCTCCTCCTCCTCCTCCTCGTGCTCTTCCTCCTCCTCCTCACGTTTTTTCTCGTTGGCCCCCGTCCTCCCACAGTCCTCCAGCACCGCTGGTTTTTGTTTGACTCCGTCCAATGCCTCCACCGGCAGCCCCCCCCTGTCGTGCCTGAGGCCCCGATCGGCCGAGACCCCGCAGCCCGGCAAGGTCTCACCGGCGACGCCGCTGCGGCAGACAGGCGGCATCGAACCGCCAGGCTCCAGAACAGAGCAACAGCGTGACGTGCTCTCCGACGATGGGCACGGTGCCGTCCCTCGGCTTAACCTCGGAGACGGAGGGAGTCGAGCTGAAATATTCGGAGACAGGAGGAGGAGGAGGAGGAGGAGGAGGAGGAGGAGGAGGAGGAGCGAATGTCATCCAAAGAGAAGGGAACGAAGCGGCCAAGAGAACGCCAGAGGACGAAGGAGAGTCATCCCTGATCCATCCCGCAGCAGAGAAATTACGCCTGGGCGCCGACGTATCAGCTGCGTGGGGCGGGCGGCGGCGCACTGGGGGATTCGGCCTCCTACTAGGTTTCCTTTCCGGCGATAGGAGTGATACATAATGCACGTGATATCATACAGTACAGCAGTGGACGCAAACTGGGCGTTAGATCAGGGAAGGCACGGGAAGAGGGCAGAACAATAGGAGCCACTGAGGAGGAGGAGGAGGAGGAGGAGGAGGAGGAGAAAGAGACGGAGAGAGAGGCGGCATGGGAGAAGGTAAAAGGCCAAGCAGCAGGAGGAACAGGAAGAAGATGAGGAGCAGGAGAAGAAGCGCGAGAAGGAGCGGGAGAGGCAGGAAAAGGAATGGGGGGACGGCACACATGGGGATGGGACAACATAGGCGCGCTCGCGCAATATCTGCCATCCTACCCCGCGCACCCATCCCTTCCCAGTGTGCTGAGTATTCTCTAGATGCTGGAAAGCATGACCTTGATATCCAAAAATACACCGTTAATGAAACAAGGCGGGAACGCAAATACAAACGCCAGGACTCAATCGTCGCTCCTGACATGGGGTCGCCGCCTGACTGAAAACGCTCCGATTGGAACAACGACCGGAAACAACCCTGGAATAAAACATTCGCTGCTATGTATGCACAATCCGTAGGAAATTGGATAGACGCGGGAACAACAACAAACAACATCAGGGGAGAGAGGAAATCCATTCCACATGACTATATTGTCAGGTCGGAAGAATCCCACATTGGCCAAAGAGACACGACCAAAACGCATTACTACAAAGGGGGATCGGGCCTCAAACTGACTTCGGACCTCCGTCCGAAATAAACATTACATAGCACCCCGCTGATGCAGATAAGAGTGAGGGGGCGGCGGGGATGTCGGCTGTCTGCGAAACTCTCGAGAAGCCCGCCGCCGGCGCCAACATTTCACACATTATATAACGAGACCGCCGCAGGCGCCGAATTTCTCGTTAAACCAATGTGGGTCGGTCGCGGGTGGGTCGCGAGTGGGTCACACATGTGTCGCGGGTGGGTCGCGGGGGGGGTCGCGATGGGTCGCGGATGGGTCGCGGGTGGGTCGCGGGGTGGGTCGCGGGGGGTCGCGGGTGGGCGCGGGTGGGTCGCGGGGTGGGTCGCGGGTGGGTCGCGTGGTGGGTCGCGGGTGGGTCGCGGTGTGGGTCGCGGGGTGGGTCGCGGGGTGGGTCGCGGGGCGGGCCGGGGTGGGTCGCGGGGTGGGTCATGGGTTGGGTCGCGGGGTGGGTCGCGGGTGGGTCGCGGGGTGGGTCAACGGGTGGGTCAAGGGTTGGGTCGCGGGTGGGTCGCGGTGTGGGTCGCGGGTTGGGTCGCGGGGTGGGTCGCGGTGTGGATCGCGGGGTGGGTCGCGGGTGGGACGACGACAACAAAAACACCACCAACAACAACAACAACAACAACAATCATTTTACCCGAACGCGTGGTGTTCTCCCCAGTGCCAGGGTTTTCATACGACACCAGCCAATACCCCCACTTCGTGGGGGGGCATTACAAGCTCTACCAAATATCCAAACGACTCTTCGCGACCACCCAAACCCAGCTTCCCGCCCTATGACGTTGGGACACTTCACTTCGTGGCGTGCGGACGACCGTGGCTACTACACTGGCGTGGGGTACACACCCACAGAACTTGGTCACTTATTCGGGGCGCGCATGTGCCCAGCATGGTGCAATTGTGCCATACAATACATAATACAGAGAGAACGGGGTTCGCAGGCGCGCGAACCCCGTTGCAAGAGCGTGCGAAAGTAGCTCGCGCGAGCTCATGTAACATAAATGTTGGAAAACCATTGGTAGGATTCGGACAGCGCGCGCGGGTGGAAATTTTGAAAAGTCGTGCAGGTGTTTTTCGAGGACCTACGGTGCGATTCGTGTGATTTTATGATGCGCGGTGCTAAAATTCTTAAGAACCCAATGGTTTTTGGAGATTTCGGCGTGCGCGCGCGAAGAAAAAACGAATGTGTCCCGCATGGTATTATTTGACAGGGATGATGGCCCTGGCAGGTGCGCAACCGTTGTCGCAGAAGTTCGAAAAAGTTGCTCGCAAAAGCCCGTTTGACAGAAATGTTTAAAAAGTGTTGGGTTTCCTACGAATCCGCAAGAGCGCGCGGGATGAGATTTTGACATTTTTTTGTTGAAAAACCATTGGTTTTTTGATGTTTTTATGTTAAAATCGCTCCGAACACTAAGCTTTTGGAAGGATTTCGTCTTGCGCGCGCGAATGTCCACTTTACCTTATTTTTTGCAAGGGATTCTTGAAATTTGATTATATTAGAACAAGAAATGTCATTTTATAGTGTTTTTTGCAAGGGAAAGCGGGGGGGAACAAAACAACCGGATCTTGATCACCTCGAATTACCTGAGGCTTCCTCACGAAAATGATGAAAATGTAGCTGCGGCCTAGGCGGCGCAGGGGGGGCGCGCACCAGGGGGCCCAACAATAATTATTCTTTAGAATTAATAATGTTCAACAACAACAACAACAACAGCAACACCACCAACAACAACAGCAACAACAACAACAATCATTCTAATCCTGTTCACTATTACTTGCCCGCGTGTCGTTCAAAACGAGTTCCCCTCACCCTCGATACCCGCCCCTTTCGTCTTCAATGACACCCCCTGTGGGGGGATTGTTTCTCTTTGCGGGGGGCGGCGGGCTTAGACAGGCGGGCAAACCTGAAAGGGCGGACAATCCTTCGTGGGCGTACATGTGCCCGCCATTGGAATTGGCGGAATTGGTGTGGGCCTTGCAAAAAGAAGAGGGGGAGAACGAGGGAGAGTGGGAGGAAGGGAGGGGGAGGGACGAAGGAAGAGGGAAACCGCCAGGAGAGAAGGAGAGAAGAGAGGGGCAGTTGATTAGAGGCAGAGAGAGAGAGAGAGAGGAGAGAGAGAGAGAAAGAAAGAAAGAAAGAAAGAGAGAGAGAGAGAGAGCGAGAAAGACACAGAGAGAGAGAGAGAGAGGAGAGAGAGAGAGAGAGAAAGACAAATATGAGAGGTAGAGTAAGAGAGAGAGAGAGAGAGAGATATAGGAGAGAGAGAGAGAGAGAGAAAACAAAAGGAAGAGGGAGGGAGGAAGCAGGAGATGGTAGGGACAAGGGGCGAGGGAGAGGGGATAGGGCAGAGAGGCATAATGATGAGGGGAGAGAGGACGGAGAGAGAAGGGAGGAGAGGAGGGAGGAGGGAGGAGGGAGAGGGAGGAGGAGCAGTGAACAGGAAGGTAAGAGCGTGAACGCTCGAGGAAATCCTAAGCGAAAACGCCGTTCCTGAAGGAAGTCTCGGGCGGGAGCCCACGACGGGCGGGCGATCCCCTGACGGGCGGGTCGGGCGACAGGGACATTCAAGCGGGAGTATGGCGAGAGCGCGATTCCTAAGTTAATTGTGACGGCGTCCTTGGCGCAGCGTGTTTCCTGAGCGTCGAACGCGCGGATTTCTTAATACATTGCATCGAAACCACAAGCGAGAGCGCAATTGCTGGCGGGAGCGGGTTCTCTGGCGGGAGCGGGTCTTGATTAATGTGTGAAGAACTTTTGACTCAATTGCAAGGAAGTCTCAAGCGGGAGCGCCGTTCCTGGGTAAATTGTGCGGAAGTCTCAGATGGGAGCGGGGGCCCTGACTAAATTGCGCAGAAGTCACAGGCGGGAGCAACGATCCTGAGTAAATGTTGAAGAAGTCTTCGGCGGGAGCGGGGGTCCTGAGTAAATCCCACCAGCCCTCTGGGCGTGAATGGTTTAGCGAGCTCTCTCTGTTCTCAACCCCCCTTCTTCCCCTTCGGGGAGGGATTTACCCCTCCCCCTAACCCCCTCCCCCTGGACCTGGAGAGGTCCTTTCGCGGGTGGTCAGAGGGGTCTTTTTCGACTCCTGGGAAGGCTAAAAAATTACTCCGACGGAAGAACCCCACATAATAATCCTCTGGGCGAATCTGGAAAAAGCCATCACCGTCGTCCTCGTGGTTGGTGTGGCGTCCTGGCTGTCTCTTCTGCGTATATTTCCTCTCGCCTTGGCGCGGGCCCCCCTTCCACTCCTTGCGTTGTCCCCATCCTCGCCCCCCCGTTTGTTCCGCGCCCCGCCACCTCCCCCCCTTCCTGTTGCATGAGCCCGCGCGTCGATGCCCCTCGGCGCCGTCGCCGCCACGGCCAGCACAGGCGCGTTCTCTACTGGTCACGTCGCGCAGCCGTTGGGACAACCCCGCGGGCCAGGCTGTCGGGACAACCCCGCGAGCCGCTGGCGCGCAAGACCAAGCCGTTGGGACAACCCCGCGGGCTTCGAGCGAGGCGCAGCCGCGCTCAGGCGGAAGGCAGCACGAAGCCCAGCTCTGCCGCGAGCTGCTTCGCCTCCGCCCTGGACAAAACCGCTCTCTTGTCGAACTCCAGGAGCGCCTTCCGCAGGGACGCCGGCGGCCCGCACTCCAGGAACTCTCGCGGCGGCGGCCGCAGGATCAGCATGTTCCGCATGCACGTGGCGCGGGAGAACATGACGTAGAGGTGCAGCCACCACTGCTCGTCCGACATGCCCGTGCGGCCAGCGTCCTCGTCTCTCGCGCAGTCGATGGTGACGCCCTTGCGCAGCGTCTGGCCCTGCGACAGCGTGGAGGTCAGGTAGGACGCGTGCGTCAGGGTGAACCCCGAGCGGCGCACGCTGTGCGCCCCCGAGCTCTGCCATGTGAACTCCCTTTCGCTGGGCCTGAACATCAGCAAGCTCCGCGCCCGCGCCTCGGCCTGGCCGTCGTCGTCGGCGCCTTCGGCGCCCTGTCGCAGCACCTCGGCGACCTCCTGGTAGATCGGAGA